TTTTAAATACGTGTTTTTTTGGTTATTTGATAAATTTCTCCAAAAAATGCCCATATAACAGGTGGTTTTTATTACTTTGTATTATTCTTTATCATATTATATTTGTAAAACCAAAAATCTCATGTCTCTATCCCTATCACAACATTTGCTATGATCGTTTGAACAAAGGCCTGCCACAACATTATTCTCCGCTACAGGTAGAGACAATTTTAATTTTCACTAAAATGCTTATTTTTCTTCGAAATCTTTTGTTTTTACTTGAAATCTAATTTGTCTTTATCAAAATTAAAAATCTAGAGCCATTTTCAGTTTTGTTGTTAACAAAGCGTTGAATGGCGCGCCCGGAGAGGCTTAGTTCAAACGATCATTGCAAACGTTGTGATAGGGATAGAGACATGCGATTTTTGGTTTTACGAAAGTAATACGATAGCGAATAATACAAAGTAATAAAATTCACCGGTTATAGGGGCATTTTTTGGGGAATTTAAAAAAATAACCAAAAAAACACGAATTTAAATGCAGATTTTTTTCAAAAAGTATCATTTTTTATTATTTGTTGGCCATTTTTGTGTATTTTATGTATTTTTTTAGTATCGCCTGTTATTTAGCATTATTGCTGTTTTTATTTTATCAGGATATACCGCTTAGTTTAAAAGTTATTACGTTTTCTTTACAATAAGTAATTGAAAGAAATAAAATTCTATAAAAAAATAAAAAAAAATCTCAAAATTTTTTTGACCTTTTTTTTGTCGATAAAAATAGGTTTAGTTTCATCTATTTTCATATGTACACTTTAACGTGACTCACACTGTATATTTAGATTTTCATAGACTTTATTGAAGTTTATTTAGATTAGATTTGCACTATTTCAAGAGACAGTTAATTTTTTTTACTCTGCGTTTATTTCTGTTTTTTATCAAAATTTTAGTTTTAATCGCTTAACGAAGCGAAGTAAACACAAGAAACATACAGGCGACGAGTTTTTAGATTTACAACTTTTACGAACTTAGTTTACAATTCTGTTAGGGAAGGCTTAGATGCCATTGGCCTCTGCCATGACTCAATCATAATGGTTTAAGGTACCCTACCACCACTACCACTAGGTGGACCGACGATCTCGGGAAGTACCTGGATGCGGGCAGCGCAGGACCAGTCGTGGTGGAATCCTCCCGGCTTTTGTCCAGCAGTGGACGTCATTTGGCTGAAACGAACGAACGAAACCTACCAAAAACGAAAACTTATCAAGCTGTTTGTTTTTTGGAGAGCCTAAGTACCTACTTCTTTCAGGGGTCATTTTAATAGCATAAGTGTCCGATATAGCGTCCTACTTATCTATGTTATAGTCAAACCTCAAAGTTCTGGCACTCCTAGGTTTGACTAGTCAATCCTCAGGTCTGGCTAGAAGTNTACATTAGCAAGTTTGTTCAGTTCAGTATTCTGAAAATCTTGTTTTATACTTTTTCAGCGTCGTTTTTTGTCGTAGTTGGGTTTTAGTTTTTTTACTTTTAATTTATTATTTAAGACTTTAAACTAAACTATACTTAATTCTGATCTCGAACTTATTGCATAGGCGTTACGACGGTCGGTTCTGTTTAGGTGNAAGACCAGTAAGCGTGTGACATGGTGACGTCCATCCAGTAAAATGGGACTCTTCGTGTCTGTGTCGATTTCGGGGGCTGCACGGATTCGACCAGCCAGCCTCAAAAGGTCGTCGTCGCCCAGTGCCGGCGATAGTTTCAAAAGGGGGCTTGTCTTCGGGATGCTCTGCGACGCTTTAATGCACCGGATCTCCTCTTGAAAGCTCTCCAACTGACACTGCCTCAGAATATGCTGCTCCGCCGTTTTAATCATCTCTGAGGTGAGCGCCAGCAAATTAGACCCCAAGCGACATGAAACAGAAAGAGAACGATTTGGTGATGGTTGATCACAAGAATTAGTACGCAATTTAGAATTTTGAGCATGAGAGTCCAAAAGTGTCCTAAACTTTGCCGCAGCCTGATGGGCACGCGCCGTGGCTCTTACGAGCCGCGTCCAGTCACTAAAATGACTTGGATCTGCCGTTACGGTAGGCATAAGCTCTCTAGTGTATCCCACCAATTCACACATATAGTGAGTCTTTAACTCTGTGAGAACTGGTGCGATTACCTCCGTCGGCTCGGTTGGCCACATATCCGATGGTTGTAATAAAAATTGTGGGCCAACGAACCACCTAGATGAGGATTCCAGAGTGAGAAACCTCGTCGCATCGTCGGCTACGTTTAAGTCTGTTGGGACCCACCGCCAATCATCAACGTTCGTGTTCTCAATGATTTCACCGACACGGTGGGCCACAAAAGGCCTAAATGTGCGCGCGTCGGATCGAAGCCAACAAAGCACAGTCCTCGAATCGCTCCAGTAAAACACTCGTACCGGTTTAAACCTATGGCACTCTGAAATTGTGACGGCCCATCGAGAGCCGATCAAGGCCGCTTGAAGCTCCAATCGCGGGATTGAAACCGGCTTTAGAGGAGTTACCCGAGACTTGCTTCCAATAAGTGCTAGCCTAAAACTGCCATCTGGCAACACAAAGCGCCAATATGCGACGCAAGCGTAGGCTAGTTCGCTTGCATCAACGAAAATGTGTAGTTCACGTTCTACCGCATCAACGCCTAGGTAACAACGTGGGATGCGTATATTCGCAACAGACAACAGCTCATTGAACCAGTCTTGCCACGTTTTAATTACATCCGTAGGTAACTGTTCGTCCCATCCCACATTGCTCCGCCAGAGCGTTTGAAACATGACACGTCCTTTTACTACAATGGGTGCCAGTAGACCTAAAGGATCGTACACGCGCATCAAATGTGACAGGTGTTAGTCTGGATACTTATAACTAGGGGGGCAGGATGTGGTTCGTTAGCTCAAGCCAGAGACCGAAGCCTCGATAGTGAGTACGACCACTAGGGAAAGGCGTTGGACCTACGAGGTGAGGGGGTGTGAAGTTCAGGAAGGGTGGCAGCAGGATTGCTACCGCAGGTTCGGGATGAGTATCTCATGCACTACTCGGTAAGGACGAGAACCGGTTGGCTATCAACGATAGAACGTCTCGACACGACGCTATATGGCAAGCCGCGGATTAATGACGAGGTATCGGATCAAGCCAGAGTCGAACAGTTAGGGTTAGTAAGGAACAATGTGGATAGCTATTCGCTAGGGACTCTGTGCAATGCAGCCGAGGGAACGATAGACGCGCGCGCGAACGTCTGGCTGTTGCAATGGCTCCCGAGCGAATGCTAGGCGCCCGCGGTCGCCGCCGTCTCTTATATTAGCTCGGTCCGTGCATACCGTACGGCCGCGCAGCCGTAGGGTTGTCAAAATCTCTGTGCTGGGTGCTAGGGCTGTCGATGCGTCGCGGGGCGCGTCACAAGGTACCTACTTAAAGATTTATTACTTAGTAATTTGTTTTTTGCACAAATTACTAATACTCCCGTTAGCCCCTCGTGGTAATCTAAATATGCTTGTGTTACGATCCCGCGTTCCTTGAATCCCGAGTCGGCTAGTCCGACCCCTATCGTGGCTTCAAAATATGATCATGGCTAATGATGGTGTAGAAGTAAACATCAAATCCACTCCACAGTGTATCAACCTATAGGTAGCAAAGTTTCAGGCGCAGAAACAAAAACGCATCGCTGGACCGTTTTTTTAGTGATAAATTAGTTCAGTTTTTCATAGTGTGCAATCACAGAATAATAATAAGTACTACCACAGAATAAAATAAGTACTACGTACAGAAGTTTTACTTCGCGAAGGTATTTAAAAAAAATTATGCTCAATGTCATTAACAATATGGTGTAATTTAGCCTGTCTCAAGAGTCAATCACCATTTTGTTGACAAACGTCAGTGATCGGCACTGCGCCGAAGCTATAGGGCTGACTTCGGTAAAATGATGTGACGTGAGGTGCCAAACTGCGGAAAATGGTGGAGGAAATACATGATTTAGCATGAATTTACCTCTCAGTGTCTTGAGGCAACTTAAAAAAGTACATTCTGTGTTTTTATTATTATTTAGGCAGTTAAATACTGCACAGTATTTAGTACACCATTTTCTTTATTTTCTTCCATCATACCCAAGAATACGCGTGCGTGAGTCAATGTTCGCTCGTATGTGAGGCCTTGTCGAATAGTGTCCTGTAGGTGGGCCATCGTGCGTGTTTTGTTTTCGATGTAAACTCGCGGAGATGAACAGGCCTGGTGCAATCCTCAAACCTACCAAACTTAATGTTATTGACCTAATAGGTAGCAAACTCGCGGGCGCAGAAACAAAAACGCATCGCCCTGGTGGGCTGCGCTGGCGCAGGATTCGCACATGTCCGTCTGCGGCGCGTCCGGTGTCCTAAGTCAATACGCTGAGTCAACAGCGACCTCATTTCGGCTTAATAAGACCGCAAGCATGGGACTGCTTTTTGCTAAGCTTACTAAAACAGATATTGTGTTATAATAAAGTTCCACACCACATTTGGCTAATAACTCTATGTGATCAATCAATGATACATATTAAACTTTCCGCCGGGACAATCTTCCGACAATCAAGCTGCATATCCTGGCTAAACAGGAGTATAATATTTTTACCCAGAGGAGGCACGCCGGCGTCGATTTCATAGCCTTCGTCACTTAGGATTACATAGTAGATTTCTACTAGTGAAAGAATTTTCAATGAGTTTCATAAACCGGGCAAACTGGCAAACCGGAACTCCTGGTTTTGGAGAGATCTTTTCTATTGAAGTCATGTGATTTGAATTTTGATCATGACGTAGGTAACACTACTCAGTTCACTGTTAGGTACTTCTTCTCTCTCCGTTTTTTCTTCTATAGGTATTATTTACTCTCTTAGCTTTGTGATGTACCATTGTTGTATTTTCATTCTTACTAGCCAGAACCTACCTGTACTTAAGCAGGTCCTCCTCGTAAGTCCCATAGACTTTCTTAGTCTAGAACCCAGTCTAAATAAGTTCTCTTACAGGTCCTCCAACAAGCCGGCAATATCGAGCGCCTCGGCCGGTTCCTCTGGTCGCTGCCGGCGTGCGAGCGGCTACACGCGCACGAGTCGGTGCTGAAGGCCAAGGCCATGGTGGCCTTCCACCGCGGCAACTTCAAGGAGCTGTACCGGCTGCTGGAGTCCCACACCTTCAGCGCGCACAACCACGCCAAGCTGCAGAGCCTGTGGCTTAAGGGTAATCATTAAACAAGTCGTTTACTTTCTGTAATAGGGCGGACCAGCTCAAAGAACTCATGAGTGAACTGAAGAGTGGCATCTACGGACTGGTAAACGCAATGTGGGCAGCCCTCCAATTCGATCTAGTGAAGGCCACGGAAAGTACCTAGATGAGTGCAGCGCATGACTGGTTCTTGTCGAAATCCTTGAAACTGGCTTGTTCAGATTTAGAAGGCTGGAAGTCTTCAAATCTGAGCGGGATGATTCGTAATGGCTCTCGAAAACAGCTTGTAAACATATGCTCGGTGTGACGTAGGTCAGTATTTCTTGAACAAAGTTTTGTCACCTTCTTGAAGAAGCAATCTTCCTCTGATCGCTGCCAGCGTGCGAGCGGCTCTCTCTTTCTTGAAGCCGTCAAATCTGCCAGCGGGATGATTCGTAAAAGAAGACTCTCTGTCTCTAGTAAGAGAGGTCTGTATTCCTCAGCAAGAAGCAAGCGGACAACAGTCCTCTGGTCGCTGCCAGCGTGCGAGCGGCTACACGCGCACGAGTCAGTGCTGAAGGCCAAGGCCATGGTGGCCTTCCACCGCGGCAACTTCAAGGAGCTGTACCGGCTGCTGGAGTCCCACACCTTCAGCGCGCACAACCACGCCAAGCTGCAGAGCCTGTGGCTTAAGGGTGAGTGGGGCAGCTCGAAGAATGAGGGTCGTTGGGGCAGAACAGTTCCAGAGAGGAGACTACGGACTAACAATGTGAGTAATTCTCCCACTTAGCGGAGCGAAATTGTAGTGTAAGTCATGGGAACGACCTGGATGCGGACAGAGCAGGACTGGTGCTTGTCGAAATCCTTGCAGGCAGCGCAAGACCAGTCGCTGTGCAGAACCTTGGGAGAGGCCTTTTTCCAGTCAGTAGATGTCCTTTGGCTTTAAACTCAAGCGGAAACCAGCTTGTTAAGAAGGCTGGAAGTCATCAAATCTGCAAGCGGTAGGTAATACATAATCTTTGGAAACAGCTTCCAAACATGGCTCAGTCAGTTTGGCTTTCGATACACATACAAACTATGATCCCACTTTTCCATGGGATCCATACCCTTGAAATTATTTCTTAGCGTAGATATATCCGATTGTTTACTGTCTGCGTTTCTTAGCGCAATCCATTCGATAGTTTATATGGATAAATCAGTAACGGTTGCATTTCAAACATCTCTTACCGTAATATTTGTCCACAGCACACTACCTAGAAGCCGAGCGGTTGCGCGGGCGGCCGCTAGGAGCGGTCGGCAAGTACCGGGTCCGGCGCAAGTTCCCTCTGCCCCGGACCATATGGGACGGGGAGGAGACCTCTTATTGTTTTAAGGTAAACATTTACTACCCATAGGGATACTACTTGAAGTTTTGCTGGTTCAAAATGCCTTGGGTCAGTTGGGTGGGAATCAAATAATGCCATTTCCTTAAAATTAGCTAAACTAACTGTATTGGCGACAGCATAGCAATAGCAAGTTCACTGTGGCACCTTATGAAGTTTTAAAAGATAAAAAAACAAAAATGTATTAGTCTGATGTGTTATTCAACGCGTTTGGTTTCCTTTATAGAATGGTAACCTATAAGTTTGATGTGTAAATCTGTAGCATCGTTGTTTCCAAATAGATCAACCGATTTCGATATAGTTTTTGTCTGAAACTTCATGAAATGTGTTAGAATCGCTAGTGTATTGTAATGAGCAAATGTTTCTTTTGGGAGCCTTATGAGTATTGCAAGTTTCAATTAAAACCAGTGTATTCACTCTAAACTTCTTCCAGGAAAAGTCCCGGTCTGTGCTCCGAGATTGGTACCTCCACAATCCCTATCCTTCACCCCGGGAAAAACGGGAACTGGCCGAGACTACGGGACTCACTACTGTTCAGGTAAGCGAGTTTATTTATTTTAAGAAAACAATCATCTTACAAATACACTAATAAATTACAACAATGCCCAAAGCCTAAGAGAAGGTAAGGATTAGAAAAAATTGTAAGGTGCGAAGATAGCGCAAAGAAAAAATTGTATCAAAGCAGTAGGGTAATAGGGTTACAGCTAGAGACCCCTGGTTGTGGCCACTGCATCCTTTTTGTCCACATAATTTGAAATGCGTATCAAAAATAGTAATATTAAAAATACGTAGTTCAATCAATCTGAAGATGATTAGGTAGATTTTGAATTTGGTGTTATAATTTCAACCATTAATTACACAAATCAACATCTAAACCAGCACAAATCTTGAATCACTCTATCTAGTGATGAAAACCACATTAAAGTTGTGTAGTTTGAAATATCTAATCGCAAAGAGACAGATGAAGTACAGCTTTAAGTACTACATGTACTATGTAGAGTTAAACATTTCACTAAACTAAACATCGTTTCTACACAATTTTGGAAGTGAAAACCTACCAAAGCTTCCAAATAATGAATCTCGATAATTAAGTATGGATAAATATTTTTTCTCGCCGCAACCTGACACTGGCCGGGAAGCAGTGTCGGGTGTCCACCGCAGATCTGCTCGACTGCTGATGACATACATATGTACATAGTACATAGCTTACTGTGACTTGACAATGACCGATTCAGAGATGCTTTATGTCTTAAGATTCTTAGGTGTTACATAAAAAGTCAAATAGAGTCCTCTTCTAAACAAATATTGAAATCTACGCACAGCCCGAACCGCTGGACGGATCGGGCTGAAATTTGGCATGCAGGTAGATGTTATGACGTAGGCATCCGCTAAGAAAGGATTTTACGAAACTCCACCCCTAAGGGGGTAAAACGGGATCCACGCGTACGAAGTCACGGGCGGCCGCTAGTTAAAAATTATTATGTAAACATAATTAACTGGATGCGGGAGTGCAGGACGCATCGTTGTGGAATTCCTTGGGGGAGGCCTTTGTCTAGCAGTGGACGTCAACTGGCTGAAACGGACGAACGAAACAAACTATCGATTCAATATTAACCAATCAAAAGTTTGAAATTAATTTGAGTTTAAATCGAGTTTTGAGAGTCCTACTAATATTATAAATGCGAAAGTTTGGATGTCTGGATGTTTGTTACTCTTTCACGCAAAAACTACCGAACGGATTTTGATGAAAATTTACAGTATTATTGTTTATAGCCCAGAATAACATATAGGCTATTATTTATGACGATCTGTGACAAACGAAATTGCACGGGGGTGAAGCCGCGGGCAAAAGCTAGTAATTTATATTAGCTTTAGGTCTTATGGTTTCTTGACGATGAAAAATGGTCAAAATAGCTTTAAAAAATGGTTCTTCTTTCCTTAGTGAAAGGTGAAAGGAAGCAGGTGTAATGGTTACTTTTCAAACAAATTGATATAAGTTTTACATTTGCAGGTTTCAAATTGGTTCAAAAACAGACGGCAAAGGGATCGGCAAGCAGAACACAAAGACAGGTGAGTGTTAAATAAGCATTAATAGTTAATTTTCTGTCAAAAAGACAAGCAAAATTCAGATTTATCTTTGGTTCATAAATCTGTGGCGTTAACCCTAGTTTCATAAAGTAATTTTTATGTAGACAGGCAAATCCAAACGCCACGTCTAGTTTAAAAAAATCTACATGTTTGCGTATTTTTAAAACATTTTACAGTTACTTATAAAGTAGGTACGAGTACATTGCTTTATTTTGATTAAAAAATGCAATAACACTTCGTCCGTGTTGCAGTTATTTATGAAGTTGGTCTAATCTTGAAAAGTACCGTATCTGCTAGTTATTTTACAGGCCAAATTCAACTTTAGTTAACTTTTAGTTGAAGAATAAGTTAAATTATGATGACAGTTGTCGACTAGTAGCAATGTCAATAATACTACGCCAATTTACTAGGCGTTTCAAAAATCCTCTCAAAAATAAGGTTCAGTGAATTATTAAATATCCAGCTTAGCTTTATCAGTTAACAGTTAATTTAGATTTGATTGTTTGATAAGTAATAGATGTTTTATAAACTAAAGAAAGTCTTACCTTGTACAATATGCTCTAAATATGCCCTCTGAGTTCGGGGGATGTTCTTTTGTATCGTTCTTTAGTTGTTCTACACCGTGGTAACATCCTGATGGGGGGAAAACAGAGTAGATATTAGTTTCATTTAGAGGTAGGTAGGGCAGTACCTAGATCTCCTGTGTGGCTAGGTTCTACAGCTTGACGACCACTTTTTCCCAGGGGAAAGGCAAACGATTTAGCTATTGGACCCGCAACAAAATAAATCACAAGAAAATGCCTAGGTGCTTGAATATTCTTGGAGATTTCAAAAAAGTCTAAGGCTGGGTTGCAACACCTAACTTTAACTATAACGATAACTGGTGTTTTACGGAGTATATGGAGGAGGATTGTATGGAGTTTGATAGATTTGACGTTTGTTAAAGTTGAAGCAATAATTATGGTACAACTTAGCGTTTATTTATTGTGTTCAGTGTTAGTGTCAGTCAATCATAGTTATCTTGGTCTGTAAGATGTGGTGTCGAAGTAAGACTGATGTCAAGATGTCAGACAACTACGCCGTATCAACCGCTGATGGGATTTATTGAAAGACGTGTTTTAGCTGCCGAATGCTTTATTGCACTGATTATAAAAATGTTAGAACTACCAAAGTCCCAAATGTAGGTCAGGCGTAGCTGGCCAAAGTGCATGAATAAAATGCAAGTTAACAATAACTTACTTAATAATAAAAATGTGCGAGTTGACTCGTACATGGTCATTTCATAAAAAGTCCAAGTGTACAGTCTCTCCACATCACAGTACTGCGATGTCAGCGTGACACCCGACACTGTCAGCGTGTCAAACCGCTGACACGGCTCGAGTTTGTGACCGTGTTCTTTTGTATCGACTCAGCGATGGCAATTGTTTTCGGTTTGCACAAGCGAATTCGATGTCATAATAATCGAATATTTTAGTCATACAGGGTGAAAAATTGGTCTCTAATGTCAAATTAGTATTGCTAAAATCAAAACAGCATCTAAGTAATTAGAATTAAAAAAAAAGACATAATATTAATGAAGCCATTAAGTATAATATTTTTTTAATTTAGGTACATTTAAAAAGCGCTTTTATATGTCCCAATAAATCTATGAGCTGACTCTACCACTGCTTCGGGACAATAATACGGGCTAGGGGCTTGCCCTAAGAGCTTTTCACAACTATTGAAACTCAGTGATACTTTATCAGCTTCCTTTTTTAAAGCTTTACAATATTCTTATTTATACGAATTGAGAGGTGCTTGTGTATTTCGGACATTCAACATATTTTTTTTCTCTTCAACTTTAGTAACTTTAAAAACAACCTGTATAGCAACAGTATCAGTATGTAGAGTCAAATTATAGGAACTAATGAAACTAAAAGAAAGCACTGATTTTTAATTTTAATGTTTTCATTAGTTGAAATGCCATTAAAATTCAGTTATCAAATGTACATGAATTTAACGTATTTGTAGAGACTTTATATTATAGTTAAAACTAGGCCTTATGCTCCTGGCTTTTCTTGCGATAAATATGGATCAAAAAGAACGAAGCATCCCTTGCAAAAACACTTAAATTAAAAAATAATCTCCTGAATTCTCAATTATTTTACTTAATACTAATATCCTTATCTTTAAACAATCTCTACCAGATTAAACATTGTCCATTCACACGTGTTTACGAACCCCTTTTTTGTAAGTCGGACAGATGGCTGCCGAAAGATCCAAACCAAGCGTTCAGATAAGCCTGTTCGTCATGTGTGGCTGTGTTCATCAATAGAACGATAGATACATTTATTACGTTATTAATTTACAAGGGCTCTATGCCACGAGAGTTGGGAGAAAAAGAGTTACCTTAAATCTTTACTTAGGTTATCTTGACTATACTAATATGGAAAAGAATTACTTAATTATTCTACAATGTTTACTAACCACCAAATTATTTCAACGATTATTAGCAACTGCACTCAGGAGGATTTGATGAGTGCTATGCTACTGACAACGCCACTCTTGTGGCGGAGTTTTGGGCGGACACTGTGTAGGTTTGTTGTCGACACGAAAATAAGAAGAACGATTTTTATTGAATCTTTAGTCCAAATAAATACTTATTAGTTAAAATTCAACGCACCACTTTTATCGCCTTATTATAGACCCGTCAAAAGAATTAGTAATTATTTTCTAACAAGCCTAAATAAATTAATAATCAGTATGTGTATCGATCGAGTAATTTGAGAAAATGGAATATTTTCCATTGCCTCTGGTATTTTTTCCTGTAGTGGAGAGGTTGGAGCTTAGACTAAATCTGATGATGATGATAAAGTTTGTATAAGCCTTCTATAAGCCTCCATTTCACATCAACAACATCAACAGTATTTTCAAAATTGTCAGTTTCTATTGTCGCGATCTATAAATTTTGAATACAGACCCCTAAAATATAAATCCCACTGTCTCTGTCACACGACGCCCATTTTAATTGCGCCCGCGCCGCGGCGCCGGTGGGCCGCTGTTATTTTTTTAATAACGTATTGACGTGTTCATAAATATCATTGCCCAAGACACAATAAAGTTGGTGACTTTGTATTCTATAGCTGTAACGACAAAGCCATAGAAATTAGAATACAATTCGATAAGTTTGATTTCCAAATGGGTTATTTGAAATTACACAGTTACAGTTAATGACTGACGTGACAATAGTTTTTACCCAAAAAGAGGTTAAACCACAGAATAATAATAAGTACTACCACAGAATAATAATAAGTACTACCACAGAATAATAATAAGTATTACGGTTAATGCCAACGATACCAAACTCTCTCTTTGATGACATTACGGTATAAAGTTACAAATAACAACACCAACTACAAAGTACTTCTGCTTAAAAACTTGAAATCGAACCGCCATTCCGCCACTGTAACGCATTGTAACGTTTTTCAAGGCCTCCTCTCCCCCCAGATTGCATTACGTAACACTAGAACGCCCCCTTAGCAACAAATACCACTTCTCACCTAAAAAAAACCGCTATTTTTGTTTTCACCCACCAGAATGGGTGATAATGGGTAAAAACCGGGTTTTTACCCAAATCACCCAGTGTTAACCCGATCGGGTGAAATGGGTTTTTACCCACTACCCATCTCTATCTCTATGCCTTTAGCAAATGAAAAGTAAAAGTTTCTTATCAATCATCATCATCATCTCAGNAATCTCGCCAAGGCGGTCATCGAACCTGCACAGCTGACATTTGCCAGGTGCCATCTGAAATTAGCGTCTTTGTTTGTTGCTATTGTCACGTCATGATATTAAATAGGTATTTCAAAGTATTTTACTACTAATGGAGGAAAGTCGAACCTTAACTTCGAACTCTATGTTCTTCTGATTAATTTCGTTGCGGGTCCAATGACAGTTTAACTTTCCCAGGGACAAACTTGATCTTCACTGGTTGGGTTTTTATTGGCGCTCAAGCTGTATATCCTGGCTACACAGGAGTTGCAGCGGTGGGAATGAGAGGTGGGAATAGACCCGATTGTTATAGCTCAAGTAAGATGGTAAAAATCAGCCTTAGTTTGTATAATAAATAACAAAACATACCTATTTGACGTTATTGGATTGCTGCTGCCACTGCAGTTGCGGTTGCCGGTTTGATTCTCCCTAGGGACAAATAACAGTGTGATGAGCACAAGCAATTTATGGATACTATGGTTATAATTTAAGACGATGAAAAGGGCCAACATACTAATAAAAAATTGAATATAGGAGTGGCACTTGGCAGTTATTATTTCAAACTTTCTAGCTTCTTTATTTCTTCCGGTCTTAGATGTTTTGCTTTGGATTGGACACATTTTGTATTAGTGGCATTTTTTCTTGATACTTGCCAAAATGTCACCTGATAGGTCAATGTGAACGTCGCGTCGCCCTTCACACGTGAGATGGGTCATGTCACTCGTGTGTTGAATATTAGTTACACTCACGTGGTATTCCGCCTTTTTTCAGGACTTTATGTTAATATTGTAGGTAGACATATAAAAATACTTAGTGTAGGTTTTAAATTTACTACGAAACAATTGTTTTCTTCAGTTAAACACCGCGATATACGGCGACCTTGCTAGCTTTTGAAGGACAGAAAAATAATGAAACTTTCTTCAGAAAATGACATTAAAGTAATAAATTAAATTAAATACTCAATTTTTTTGTTAGTAAATAAAGAACCATAATGCAGATTTCTGAACTAAGTAGTTAAATACCCCAAGTACGTAGAAGCACCAAGCTGGGAAAATTAAACAAGGAATCAGTAAAAATCTTTCAAAATGTTATCATCACGAATATCGGACGTTCCTCAATTCATTTTNCGGCAAATGGATAGGCAAACGTACTACTCCCCCTTTATTGTCTGTGGTGTACAAAGTATATCTGTTTTATTTAACTAGTCTAATACCGTGGCTTCGCTTCGTTGTTAATTAAAACAATTTAGTTTGTTGAAAACCGCATCCGAATATTGTACTACTAGTTTTTACTAGTTTTTACTAAAAAACATGCTGTTCTTTTGAACAGCATGTTTTTTACTAGCAAATAATTTTTCCTTCATTCTATTTCACATTGGTTCATATAGTACACATAAATAAAAAATGATAAAAATTCAAAAAACTGAACATATTTTTAACTTCGATAAATTGAGAAAATCATTTTCACGACTATGAACGTCTCTATCATAGTTAATTTATTAATTAACTATTGTTTTAACACTGAAAATGAACCAATTATCTTTGCTTGCCGTGCGATGTGGAAGTCATTGGGGGAGGCCTATGTTCAGCAGTGGACGTCCTGTGGCTGAAATGATGATGATGATCTTTGCTTGAACTGTACTTAGGTCAGGATCTTTCTGATATTATTCATTATCAATTACGTCTACAAATAGGCGAAAAGTCCTGTAATGGTAATATTATGTCCTGGCATGCAAGGGAACAAAAATTTACCCGCCAATTTTTGACAGCCATCAAAAAGTTCAGTCCACAGAGCATCTAACCAAGTTTTCATTGCGCGCTGAAAAGAGGCCAGCACAATTCGCGCGCGAACGAGACAACGCACACGCGTTAGAGCGAGACGGCGCTACGTAACCCGATACCCCCACATCTGTGGCCTAAAAGCGCGCAGGGACGCACTCGGGACGATATTATTATTAAAGTACTGTTTTATTTTGACGAACAAGAATTTAATGAGCGTAATTGCGCTTTCGACTCTATAATGATGGGATACGGTTCAAATTACAGGTCGGGATTGATTTGTAATGATTGTATCACAGATTTATGGATTTGATAGCGAAAATTATGATTCATAAAAGTGTTGATCCTAAAATTGGAACGGACGTTTTGATATCAGATCTATCGTTTTCAAATCAGAAATTAATTCATTTTAACTTCTGAAACTTAGAAAACAAAAGCTTTAAGCTTTTGTTGACTTATTATGACTGAAAAGTTTTAATTTTGGACCCTTTTTAGCACAATTTCAGTAAGCAATGTGCACCCATTGAAACATCAAGGATCTTTACTTCTGAGCAGTCTGCGAATAATTCCCACAATAATGCACTTATGTAACAACAATTATCTATTATACTACCAGAACAAACACAACTCCGTATTACGTTACAAAGTGGACTCAAAAAAGCGTCTTTTTGTTTTTTTTTCGACACAATGTGCAGAAACGTCTAAATCTCAAAATCCTGTTCGAAGCCGATGAAGTGGAAGACGCCGGCTGAATGCTTATGATGCTAAGATCACCACCGAAGAAAAAAAAAGTCTATGGTCGCATTCAAAAAGTTTAATGCACCGTGTAGTTTTAATTAAGGATGGTTTTACATTTTGATGTTGCTATTTTCGTTTCGGCTTCCGATCCTCGTTAAGAACTTTAAGATGTCATCTATTTGAAAAAGCTTGTTTGAACTATAAACAAGTTTTTTAACTCTTAATTTGGTTTGGATTCACCAGTAGAACATCATTAGTAGTTTATTTAGAAGCAACTCATATCCTTCAGCAATAGATAAGTAGGCCCATTGAACGATTGTTTATAAGTTAGTATCAAGCAGGATGTTATTTTTGCGTGCAACTTTGTCATATTATTTCTTCGTAAAAGTACCTAACTGTCAATAAACAGAGTAGTAAACCAATCATGAATATTTTTTTATTTGTTTATAGCATTTGTGTAATCATATTTTATAAACAAAATGAAAGATATTGAATGCAAGATAAACGTCTATAGGTATCACTATCGTTTTGTGTTTGATACACTGCACATTGTTGTCTCAAATAAATCAAGTCTGAAAGCATTTTGCAGATTTAATTATGGCTAATGGTGCTAATAGCTTTAATCTCGCCAAGGCGGTCATCGAACCTGCACAGCTGACAATGCTGACATTTGCCAGGTGCCATCTGAAATTAGTGTCTTTGTTTGTTGCTATTGTTACGTCACGATACTTTTTCAAAGTATTTTAGTACTACTAATGGGGGGAAGTCGAACCTTAACTTCGAACTCCAATGTTCTTCTGATTAATTACGTTGCGGGTCCAATGACAGTTTAACTTTCCCCGGGACAAACTTGATCTTCACTGGTTGGGTTTTTATTGGCGCTCAAGGTGTATATCCTGGCTACACAGGAGTTGCAGCGGTGGGAATGAGAGGTGGGAATAGTCCCGATTGTTATAGCTCAAGTACGAGTAAGATGGTGCAAATCAGCCTTAGTCTGTATAATAAATCACAACACTTACCTATTTGACGTTACTGGATTGCTGCTACTACTGCAGTTGCGGCTGCCGGTTATTTGATTCTCCCTGGGGACAAATGACAGTGTGATGAGCACAAACAAATTATAGATATTATTATAGTTATATGGAACGTGTTAATGTGCGTTGAAAAGGGCCAACCAACATACTAATGAAAATTTGAATATATAAGTGGCAGTCGTTAATTCAAACTTTCTAGCTTCTTTATTTCTTCCGGTCTTAGATCTTTTGCCTGGGAAAATGTATTAGTGGCATTTTTTTCTTGATTCTTGCCAAAATGTCACCTGATAGGTCAATGTGAGCGTCGCCCTTCACACGTGAGATGGGTCATGTCACTCGTGTGTTGAATATTAAGTTACACTCACGTGGTATTCCGCCTTTTTTCAGGACTTTATATAGTTGATATTGTAGGTAGACATAAAATTTAAAAATACTTAGTGTAGCTTTTAAATTTACTACCTAACAATTGTTTTCTTCAGTTAAACACCGCGATATACGGCGACCTTGCTACCTTTTGAAGGACAGAAAAATAATGAAACTTTCTTCAGAAAATGAAATTAAAGTAATAAATTAAATTAAATACCTACTCAATTTTTTTGTTAATAAACAAAGAACCTTAATGCAGATTTCTGAACTAAGTAGTTAAGTAGCCCAAGTACTTATAAGCACGGGAACATAATATAAACAAGGAATCATTAAAAATCTTTCAAAATGAATTATCATCACGAATATCGGACTTTCCTCAATTTATTCATTTTCCCAACGTCTCACACTGCAGACAGACAGTCTCAACTTTGTCTATGGCTAGCTACATCCAAGATGGCGGCGTGTCAGGTTACAGCTGTCGAGTCGCGCTCGTCACTTTGCGCTCAGGCTTGATTGGACAGGACTACTAAGCCCCAAATAAAACAGGAAAGTTCTCTGGCTTCTCAGAAGGATAGAATGGATTCAGTGGATATTGTTTTGACGTACACGGCCGTTACGGTCTATGGAACATTTTGAAAATAATATTGTTTTTGGTCTGTTAGATAATTTGGGGCGAGATCACAAACAGATAAAATCTAATAGATTAGTTTTTAAACTTAGTGGTTATTTGTAATTTCAAATCATGAGGAGCAACTAATTAAAAAAATAAAACATACATTCATCTTGTGAGACAGAAGAGGGTTCTATGTGTCAAAAGATATTTATTTATTTATTTATGTAATTCAGGGGTTCAGAGAGTTCAGGGAATCATAGGTTTTGTAAAATTTTATAAATTTCTTATTTTATTGAAATAGGTAAATGTTACTTTAACAAAAAATCAATAGGCCCCTTATGTTTAACACCATCGAATAAAATCATGCATGTTTTATCTACTACATGCCTTTTTAAATACATCACTCGACTTCTGTAAAGGTATGGCTTAAGATTAAGAAGATGAAATGATTATCCCAAAGAAAACTAAATAGTCATCTATTAAAATATACTAATCATCACCTTTCTTTCTTTCCAGTGGCGGCGGCGGGGACAAACAGCTGGACTCTTCAACAGACGACGACAGCGATGCGCCCACGCACCCCACGCAGCCCCACGTCGTGCCCCCCCACCCCCCACAGCCGCTGTACCCCCTCTACGAGCACCCCCTAGCACACCTACAGTACCACCACTCGTGACCCCCTTATCCTTATCTGTAGATGTAATATAAAATGGCGGAATGCATGTATGTTGAAATGTAACAACGCCATGACAAGACATTTGATTGAAGGGGTGAGTGGACAAAGGTGTTATCTGACAAAACTGAAGAATCGACTTTTTTGCATGAACATAGGTTTTAAGTGATGATAAAATCGAGTAATGAGTTCAAAACACGCAATTTTGTTACGTGTCAAACCTTAACAAAGGTGTTATCTGACAAGCATTGATACATTTCAGGATTCAAATGTGGTATGAGCAGATTAACATTTTCAAACACTCATAACTCATTTTGTTAGTTAAGACCTTTGTCCACTCACCCCTTCATTTTTGTTGCAATAGCTTTTTTTAACCAGAACGAGCAAGTTCTTGGCCTGCATCATACCTTGGAAAGTGATGATCAGGCCGAAGGTGGAAGCGAGCTTCACCCGGAATCCCCGACCGCAAAGGGACTGGCTATCTTACCTCTGCCGGACAACAATATTACAAAAGTATTAGATGTAGATGCCAGTGTCAAGCTTGATTGATGTGCTGTCCATCTCAACATACGTGCTCCAAAGTTTATCAAAAATTGTGAAGCATTTACATTCGTTTATGTATCACAATTTTTGAAATCTACGTTTAAATATACTGTAAATAGTTTTTAATATCGTATCAAATTGTAATTTATTATTTAACACAGTCACACCGCATTTAAAACACCACTGCGTTGTCATCAGCTAGGATGTTTTAAGATTATTTAATGGACAAGGATGTTTTAAGATTATTTAATGTGATAAGTAAAACTCTACCTTTTTTTTAAACAAAAAAGAAAAAAAACTAAGCCATAAAAAGTATGTCAATTGACTGGGCAGTGTGAACAAGCCTATTGCAAAGTCTGTCAACATAAACTTCTTCATCATCATCGCTATTATTAGATGTTAAAACTAAATACATAAATGTTTTGTATTGCATAAATTAATTTTAACAACCCATTTATAGTTGAAACTACTTGTTTTATTTCCATAATTTTGTTCGTCGGTATCATAACTTTGTAATTTTATTGACCGAGACAGAAAAATATACATTTATCATAAAAAAATACTATTATTCTTGTACAGTTTGTGATTTTTGTAACTTGTCTGATTTCCAAACATGTTTTGTTTATTCTTAATTAAGTAATCAAATAAAATAATTATAAAACATCCTTTCTTGTATGAATAAAGTTATTAAGGACCACTCACATCATACTTCACTAATCTTAAAATAAACATGTAAAAATTAAAACTTTAGTATAGTCTGAATTTTGTGATTTAAATACATGCTTCCTAAATCTATCATATCTTATAGGTTACATAATTATAAATAATGTAAAATAGTAAGCGGTAAGTCAACCTACCACATAAGGCAATCTCGTCAGTGGATTTTGAATTTTATGTGCATTAGAATAAGATAAAATTTTTGATTTTTGTGGTTGGTTGAAGCACTGCCGACTACGATGCATTTTCCGGTTAAACTATGTCAAAAATATTATAATGTCTACCTACCCACTAAAATACAATAATATTTGTTATAAAAAAAAACATAATTAATTTTTAGTTAAGATATTATTATGAAAAACTGCCAAAACTAAATGCTTCGAAAATATTGTGATGCATTTTAAATTTAATTTATATTTCAAGAAGCATTTTTAAAATACACACATTAGTTACTGTTATTTGCACTCTCCCTTATAATAGTTAAAATATAAGTAATTTAATATCCAAACAAAAAAACTTGACAGTTAAAATATCACTCTATTAAAAAGAAATAAGTAACTGAAGATTTATATTACCTATTCATAGCATAGTACCTAAAATAAACACACAGCTAAAAATACAAATACCATACGCACTTATTTAAAAAAAAATGTCAGCCACAATCTAAGCCAGCCATTTAAATTTTTTTTTCTGTTCAAGAAAAGGCAAAGGCATACTTGTACAACTAAATCTTCCGTTTTTGTTTTGCTCTTAAAAAATGAAAATTCACATTGTTATTTTTTACCTAAGTTCGTACCTGTAAATTTCATAGAATTTTCTAAGATTTATTTATTTAGTGTTTGTTTTATGTTTTATAAACAACATAATTATTTATGTGTTATTATATTTAAAACAACACACATACAGTTGTTTTAAATTAAGGGTCTTTCGTTAGATTTTAAAAGTAATCTCATTAGGTATATTGAATTCTAATTCAAATCAAATCATTTTTTTTAATTATAATTCAATAAATTAGTCAAAATGTAATGGTCAAAATAGGTACTTCAATAAATTTTCTCTTTTACTTAGTCCAAACGTGGGTTTGTTCCACCTAGCGTTCTTTAAAACATCACGTTTCTTGAAAACAGATACTTACGGAAGACCCTTAAATGAAAACAACAAAAATGCCCCTGTATTCATTAACATTAAATTTAGCTAGTTATTTATTTAATTAATGTATAATTTGTTTAGAAACAGCGCTGTTTTGTATAAATAATGTAGGCACACGCAGCTCGTCTTAAAAGTTATTTGTATTTTTTAAAACAAGTGTGTTGTTAAATTATAAAGTTGTTTTTATTTATTTAAACCTGTAGTAAGCACCCATATNCGGGCGAAGCCGCGGGCGGAAAGCTAGTTAAATAATAAATTCAAAGCATTAAAACAGATCGACCATACTTTCCGTTTGACTACCCTCCACGGAATCGAACGAAATGCCCATCTCATTATACGTGCACCAACCAAAGTTTGCCAAAAATTGTGAAACAGAATATTCGTTTAGTTTCACAATTTTTGAAATCTACGTTTAAATATACTGTAAATAGTTTTTAATATCGTATCAAATTGTAATTTATTATTTAACACAGTCACACCGCATTTAAAACACCACTGCGTTGTCATCAGCTAGATACTTACCTATTATATTTTATTTAATTAGGTACAAACGTAATGAACACGGATGTTTTAAGATTATTTCATTTGATAAGTAAAACTACCTTTTTTTTTTAATAAAGAAAAAAACTAAAATAACTTGATAATTCGATAAAAAAAGTATGTCAATTGACTGGGCAGTGTGAACAAGATATTATTCCAAAGTCTGTCAACATAAACTCCTTCATCATCATCGCTATTATTAGATGTTAATACATAAATGTTTTGTATTGCATAAATTAATTTTAACAACCCATTATTAGTTGAAACTACTTGTTTTATTTCCATAATTTTGTTCGTCCGTATCATAACTTTGTAATTTTATTGACCGAGACATAGAAAAATATACATTTATCATAAAAATACTATTATTCTTGTACGGTTCGTGATTTTTGTAACTTGTCTGATTTCCAAACATGTTTTGTTTATTCTTAATTAAGTAATCAAATGAAATAATTGTAAAACATCCTTTCTTGTATGAATAAAGTTATTAAGCATACCACTCACATCATACACTAATCTTAAAATAAAAATGTAAAAATTAAAACTTTAGTATAGTCTGAATTTTGTGATTTAAATACATGCTTCCTAAATCTATCATATCTTATAGGTTACATAATTATAAATAATGTAAAGTAGTAAGCGGTAAGTCAACCTACCACATAAGGCAATCTCGTCAGTGGATTTAGAATTTTATGTGCATTAGAATAAGATAATTTTTTTGATTTTTGTGGTTGGTTGAAGTACTGCCGGCTACGATGCATTTTCCGGTTTAACTATGTCAAAAAATATTATAATGTCTACCAACTAAAATACCAATATATTTTATAAAAAAAAACAATTTATTTTTAGTTAAGATATGAAAAACTGCCAAAACTGAATGCTTCGAAAATATTGTGATGCATTTTAAATTTAATTTATATTTAAAGAAGCATTTTTAAAATACACACATTAGTTACTACTGTTATTTGCACTCTCTCTTATAATAGTTAAAATAAAGTAATTTAATTTCCAAACAAAAAAATAACAATTAAAAATAAATAAATAACTGAAGATTTATATTACCTATTCATAGCATAGTACCTAAAATAAACACAGTTAAAATATAAATACCATACGCACTTATTTTAAAAATTAAAAAAAAATGTCAGCCACAATCTAAGCCAGCCATTTAAAAAGATTTTTTTTTTCTGTTTAAGAAAAGGCAAAGGCATGCATACTTTTAAAACTAAAACATCAGTTTTTGTTTTGCTTTTAAAAAAATGAAAATTCGCATTGTTATTTTTTACCTAAGTTCGTACCTGTAAATTTCATATAATTTTCTAAGATTTATTTATTAGTGTTTGTTTTATGTTTTATAAACAACATAATTATTTATGTGTTATTATATTTAAAACAACACACATACAGTTGATTAAGGGTCTTTCGTAAGATATCAAACGTATTTAATCTCATTGCATTGAATTCTAATTCAAGTAAATTCAAAAATATTTTTTTTAAAATTATAATTAAACAAATTAGTCAAAATGTAATGGTCAAAATAGGTACATTATATAGTTCAATAATTTTTCTCTTTGACTTAGTCCATACGTGGGTTTTTTCACCTAGCGTTCGTTCGTTCGTTTAACATCACGTTTCTTTAAAACAGAACAGATACGTTTTAGCTTACGGAAGACCCTTAATTGAAATAACAAAAACGCCCCTGTATTCATTAACATTAAATTTAGCTAGTTATTTATTTAATTAATGTATAATTTGTTTAGAAACAGCGCTGTTTTGTATAAATAATGTAGGCACACGCAGCTCGTCTTAAAAGTTATTTGTATTTTTTAAAACAAGTGTGTTGTTAAATTATAAAGTTGTTTTTATTTATTTAAACCTGTAGTAAGAACCCATATGAAATGAAATAGTTTATTCAGTACATAGGCCCTTTCCAGGGAACATACAATATACACGACCCAAAAATAGCTTGCCCTACCACCACTTCGGGACAACATATTATGGGCTGGTGCTAAGAAGATGGAATATGGAGATGGAAAACTCACAGGTTCGATTCCTAGGTGAGATGTGCATACTAGCATGGACTAATATTAGTCTGCTTCACTATAAGTATGGGGTTGTATCCCCATATGACCCCTTTAATTAATTTGAACTCTCATTTGTCATTGTGCCTTATAGAATCTTGTTTCTACAGTTAGAGGGTGAAACGCCTCCGTGGTCCAGTGCTAGAGTGAGACTCAAATCTCAGGTACCGGGTTCGATTCCCAGGTAGGACAACACAGTTACAACAAATGAAATTACTTTGTGTATTAGTTCCCACTTTGGTTAGGACATAGCTAGCCTACACATTGTCCGATTCCGTGCTTTGAACTTCGTC